CACTTTGAAATTTACTAATATTTTCCATTTGTACTTCTTGACACTGTTGTTGACTTTCCTGTAGTTGCTGCTAACTTTCCTACAACTGTTGGAGGCTTTCTTCCTGTTTCTTTTCTTGTTCCAGTTGTCACTGGTGCTGGTTTTCATGCCACTGCTGTAATCTCACTTCACGTTTCTTTTCTTTTTCCTCCAACAACTGTGGTAATCTCTCTTCTTGTTTATTTTGCTGTTCGAGCTGCCACTGTTGCAGGTTTTTTTGCCACTGCTGTTGTCTCTCTTCTTGTTTCTTTTCTCATTATTCTTGTTTCTTTTCTTTTCCTCCAACAATTGCTGTAATTTCTCTTCTTGTTTCTTTTCGTTTTCCTCCAACAACTGCTGTAATCTCTCTTTTTGTTTCTTTTCTCGTTCTTTTTGTATCTTCTGCTGTTTGTGTATTGTTGCCATTAAATCTGCTAATTCGTAGTTTGATTTGCCACTTCTCGTTTCCAGCTTCTTTTTTATCTTATTTTTTCCCATCCCACTTCTGACACCAATTTGTTATGTGTCTATTTGTTTTTTGATATCCTGTATAAAGTCTTTTGGAGGAACTTCAGCAATAGTTCTTTCTTAATTAAACCAGTTTATTTTTTTCTTGATACAACTTTGTAATACACAGAATTTCTAATCAGTACGTTAAACTTAACTACTTTTATAACACATGCTATAAATCATAGTGATTCACACATTTTACTTGCCTACTGTTCACTTGTCTCAATTATCTGTATCTTCGATCCCGCTGGTTTTTCTCGCCCAGCTTATATTCTAAAAAAGAGGGCGTCTAGCAAACACTCGGACTTCGTGGGATTCCTCGAAAATTCAAGAAACTACAGCGCGTATGCTCCCAGAGTCACGCGAATTCCGCTTTCGTAACAATATCTATACGTCACCGCTAACGGAAGCCTACGACAATTGCATATTATACACGTACTGAAATTTAACGTGCTCTAGCTAAAAGGTGAGTTTGCACTTTAACTAAAAATTGAACTAAACGATAGAAGAAATAATAAATGAACAGTAAACAAAAATATAACAAAATAAAAGTAGAATTCACTATATCGTAGACCATTGTAGATTTTGCCCTTAACAACAGACAAATAGATACAAATAATTTTTTAAGTAGATTTGGCTTTGTTGATTCTGTACATTATTGTATATGTAAGTTTAGTACCATAAATAACCACCAGATGGTCTTGCATGATGCAATAGGCTTGTATATGTTGCGAACGTATTATTGAATATGCAGCGATTAGAGAAGGAAATTTTGGGCTGTTTATCGACTAAATTTAATGAATTTTAGTACTCGCAGAAGCTAGCTAGCCAAATACAATAAAAGAGAGCTTCTGTCTCAAAATTTGAACTGTGTCGTTATGAATTATCAAGTAATGTTATTTAAAACTTTCACGCAACCCGTCTCTTTTCGTTGTTTTAAGCCCTGGAGCTGGAATCGACTCTGGCAGAGGAGAGGCTTCCCTTTTACTTTTAGTGAAAGAAGGTCGGGCTTACGTCTTTACGCATTTAAGACTAATTATAGGATTACATTTTCAGTAGTAAAGAAGACTTCACATCATGATAGCTCCGGATTAAGTATTAAAGAATTGACAGAGATATTGTTTCCAGGATGTTGCAAAGTAATATTGTCTGCTAATCCTACTAGTGGATATCAGTATCAATATTATCACAGTCTGCACAGAAAGATAGAAATCCCTAAGTCTAATCCTGTATTATACTTGCCCAAAAAAGTGTGTTTATCAGGAAATTTCCTTTTCCTATATTCAAATTTGAGTTGTAGATGGAAAAAAAAATTGTGGAAACTTTTCAGCTTCTCAACAGTGGGCATTGTATTTGTAGTGTTACTTTCATTGGGAGTTACTGAAGTGTATTGTGAGAGTAAACAACATAACTCTTCCAAAATCGCTGGTGAGTAAACTTTTATTAATTTGTAGATATAAGGCTACTTTCACTTGGATAAGTTTGTATAAATATTCAACTGTTTTTATAAATTACAAATTGTATTCTTTTCAATTAATATACTACTTTGCTATTTCATTACTTGCATGATCTGGCAGTTTCCTCTTCTGAAGGTTTTCTACTACCCGCAATAGCTATTTTAACCACATCTGTTAGATTTTAACCATAGGTGAGTATTTCCTCAATCATATACTTTTTTATTTTTAGGGTTCCTTTTATTTTTTACTGGATCCCACTCTGTGGTGAGTGTTGCCCTGGCAGGTATGCTTTCTCTTTTCAATTCTGTACTAGCAACCACTTTCACTATAATCATTACAGGTTGCAACAGGCTCTGTCAAAATGAGGTGTTCCATAAGTCCATCTAGGCACTTTTTGGATGGTATTATTTTTTTATCATGGATTTCCACTCATAAACTATCATGAGTATAGCTAAAGGGGATCCTGCCTGACCCTGCCAATCTTTAGGTTGAATAAATTGGGTTTGGTTTTGGTTTAAAATCGCAGGGAACTTGGTTCACCTATTGCACAGTTTTCAAAGCACTGTTCATCATGGCTCCCCAATGCATATTACCCCATCAGACTACTGGTGGAGGTTGGGAGTCCTTACCTTCCCAGTTTCCAGTTGCTGGTGTTGCAGACAGAGCATTTTCCTCCAGATTGTTCTGATGTGCTCTTCCACTCTTGGAGAAGAGGGTGAAGTTGGGGGCCCTCCTACTTGGGTCCTGGATGTTTTCCCCAGATGTCAGTAGGAGTGGCACCAGATTTAACACGAAGCTACCTGGTTGGGAGGTGCATGGTCATTCTCTTTGATCAATGTCGGTTTCATATTATTGTTCATGGACAGAGGTTTGGTATCTCCTCATAATACCAAACTCAGTGTGGTCCCATCCTAGGTTCTTGGTTGAGCACAGGTTTTCACCTCCTCTCCATAATTCCAGGAGTAAGTGGAATACTCCTTGTCCCCTTTGTTGGAGAGTAAGAATGAATGTTTATAATTCCAGACTGGATGAGCTCTGTTCCTTTGGTTGATTATGGCATACACGATCCCATCATTCTGAGCCTGGGGTGTTACCTTTTGGATTTCTTAAGGTGGAGAAGAAAATGCCAGTTCTTACTTCTCAATTAACCTAAAATTGAACAATATTCATTTTTCAATTTTTCCTTTCTATGTTCTCAAAGATGTAAGTTTTTCTAAAGGTCTATAAAAGTGAGATTCATGTGACTTGTTTGCTTTGGTTAGGCACTGTTTAATTTTATGTTATGACACTTAATGCATTTGTGCTGTTGATAAAACTGCTTCTTTGATTTGTGAACTATAGGTAGAGCTGTTTGATAAAATTCAATATTGCACAAGTTTGTTAGGTTTAACCTAAAATTTTACGTGTTTTATGTACATTTTGGTTATAGCTGTGAGTATAGTAGCTGTTTTGAAGTAATTATTTTACGTTTCCTTTAATATATAAATTATTTAATACAATTTCCACAGTGCCTTAATATTAGGCTTAGAAGTTTTATTAAGCATCGTTTAAAGAAAAGTGTTGACCAGCATTCAGAGTCACATGGTAAGACACCCTCTAACTTGCTACATTCTCTTTGCTTACTTTCTCATTGTGATTCTGGTGATGCAAAATACATCACTGTATGGTTACAGGTTGGGATCCAATTAAAAGTATATATAATATTGCAGTCCAATACCCTTGCCACCAACATGGAATGTAGGTACCATGAACCCTTAATTCCAACCCCAAGTTGTGGAACCTCTGCTTCTGGTTGGGGCTGGCCTATACTGATGATTACTTGTATTCTGTTCCTCCTTTGATGTAGGAACTGAATTCTTGGTGAAGAGCATGTCTGTTCTGGATGTAGTGTGGTTCTCCCACTTTTGTACCATATTTATCTTGATACACTTCTGTTCTGTAAATACACTTTTTGTATGGTTCATACCTGCACTGGCCCCGCCACCTTGTCAATGTGGGATTGTAGCTTTCGTGTCAACAGAAGTAAGTATGTTTTGAAAGTTAACATTTTCCTATACTGAAAATGTATTTCCAATAATACTTACCGAGGCTGACACTCTCCCACCCTACCTCCCCGCTAAACGCCGGTTTATGTCTCGAAAAATTGATTACATTATCTGAATGAGGTGCTTCTATACAGTACCTAGACAGAGGGCACATTGGAGTTGGGGGAGAAATTTGCAAATTAGAATTTGCTAAAGGCATTTGAGTGGGGTATATAAAGACTGGAGCAAGCATTTGCAATGCTTAGATGGGCAAAGAATGGAAACCATGGAGATTGAGAAATAGCTGTAGTGTCAGCAGAGATAAGTATTATTGGAAATACATTTTTAGTTTAGGAAAATGTTAACATTAAAAAGATTCAAAAGTTTTTGTTAATCTGCAGTGGTTAAAAGACGAAGAATTGTCTTTCTTCATGAGACAAGGATAGATGGAATGATTGGAAACATTAAATTCAGTTAATTATTATTTTTATAAGTTGTGGCACTAAATAATTAAGCTGAATAGAGTTGAGTTAATCAAGAATAATAATGAGATGTCATATTGACAATATTTCAATCACTTGTATACGTGGAGTAATCAAACAGTAATAATCAGAAATGCTAAATTCTCACTAGTTGGTTACATTAATCTATGTCATTGATGCTCAAAGGTGATTGATTTTATTAATTGATCGTGGCTCATAGCTAAAACTTTGAAGTGGGTCACTTAATTTAAATTACTTGTAGTTTCATATGTATGTCTTCCAACAAGTTAAAGCTATTAATTACTTTAAGGTTTGTGATCATATTTCAGATACAAGACTGTTAGCAGCTGCACAACTAGGGCAAAGTGAGGAAGTAAGAAGGTAAACATTAATTTAGATAAATTGTAAACAGTCGTGTTAGGCATGCCAATATAATATTACGTACACTAAATATGAATAATTTTTAAACAGTCATGTTAGATATGGTATTAAATGTCAAATACAATAATATGAATAAATTGTAAACAATCATGTTAGATATGGTATTAGAATATGAAATACACTAAGCATGAGTAATATGTAAACAATCATGTTACATATGCCAGTAGAATATGAACTACACTAAATATGAATAACTTGTAAACAATAATGTTAGATATGGTATTAGAATATGAAATACACTAAGCATGAGTAATATGTAAACAATCATGTTACATATGCCAGTAGAATATGAAATACACTAAATATGAATAACTTGTAAACAATCATGTTATATATGAAATTACAATGTAACATACACTAAATTGAAGATGTGTAACTTGTACTTTTTGACATATAATTTTCATGAATATCTTAATACTTGTATTTTAAAGAAAACTGCAGTTGTAGTATTTTTAAGATTGTGATAGCTTCAGTGAAATTTCTTTCCTTTATTTGTGGATGTATGCCAAGTGCTAACCTGTAATTTTGGATGTACATAAAGTGCTTTAGAGATGCACATTTTTTTTTTTAACTCTTTCAACACAGGTTTGGTAAATCTAACCAATCTCACAACCACCATAAAAAATTAGGAAATAAACATAAATTATGCCTCTTTCATTCTAGAATGAACACAAATTATAACATGAAAACATAAATATTTGGCTTAAATCTCATAACATTATACATTTATATATATTTATTGTTTTTATTATATTGACCTTTCACCCGTGCCTGGCTAACAATACAGAAGTTACAACGACACGGCTCACGTGCACTCATGTTACTGTATCAAATAACATAAAGTTGTTATTTGGTTCTGTACAAAGCAACTTGTCTTGGCTGTGTTTTAGTCGACTAGTATTTTGTAAAGTAGTCACATTTCAATTATTATACATTATATATGTATATAGATCATTGCTACTTTGAAATAAGTTCTTAAACTTATTTTTCATAAAACACAGAACAGTAAATGAAGAAGTAAAGCAACAATTATCTCTTTAAAAATTTTGCGTGTAGAGGATATGAAACAAAGTGATTTTTTTAGGTTTTATATATATACATTTGAATAACTAAAAAATCATAAATTACTACATCAATACCATATAATTCAACTTTAATTTATCAAGCCTAGTAACCAAGATGTACTTTAGTCTAAAAATATATGAACTTTCGAGCAAACCAAAGACACACACTACCTTCTTGAAATATTGGTTCAAAAGAAAGAAATGGTGCCAAGTCCATTAAAATGTCTGAGAATGCCACTAGGGGAACATTCTGAGCTTCCAATTATTTTATTTATTTATTTTAGACCTGGGATCACTGGTTATGTTTCAGGCTTTAGAAATGTGACATTGTTCTGTAACAATGCAAAACACCTAATTTACCTGTTAATATTATTGTTATATTTTCGAGATATATTTTGAAATATAATTCAAACTTATTTATTATTGTTATTCCTATTTGGACTCTAATTTATATATATATATACATATCATATTGTAATAACATTCTGTTGCCAGTTTCGTGTGTGTGTGTGTGTGTGCTACATTATATCTGTTGCATGATGTTAATTTCAAACGTTCTACGTTTGATAAACCTTGCGAAATCAAACATTCTGTTACATTAAAGTTTAAATCACAAGAGGAAGGGTGTCCCAGCCCTTAAACGTTATGAATATTAAAACACCTATTTTGCATTAACCATTTTTAATGGTACGAGTTATTGTTTTTAATTTCATCGTAACACAGTGATTTTGTTAGCTTTAATATAGGCGACTGGTAAAACTATTCAAATGTCTACTTTGTAAGTACTTTCTTTTAATTTTTTTTGACAGACACGTGCAGATAAATAATGACTCGGCAATTGAATTCTACCAAAAGTTTGGATTTGAGATTGTGGAAACAAAGGAGCACTATTACAAAAGGATAGAACCCGCTGATGCCCATGTTCTTCAAAAAACACTGAGGTCTTCCAAAGGAACTCCTCAGATCACTCAAAATGGTATTGACCACTCATAACCTTGAATTTTTAATTAAGTCATTGAAAAGTAAGTGTAAAATAGGTCTGTGAGAAGGGGACACCAGAAGGAATGTACCAATTCTCAGAAGAAGTGTTTTTCATGCATCCTCCACCGACCCAACACTATCATCAGTGCACTATTTGGTCTGGTGTCTTCTTGTTGAAGAAATATACCAGTATAGATATTCTTTGAGATTCCTACCTACAATATCCTAACAAAAGCTTTCTGTTTAGATTTAAGTAAATTTAATCAATTAATGGTAATATATTTTGAGTATTTGAAGTAAAAAATGGCTTAGTTTTTAGGTATTTGATATTTTTAATGTGTTTTTACCGAGTGCCGCTGTATCGTAAGTGTACATTAACTTATGAAAAGCTGTTGGTATACCGAATATTAAGTGAGGGTGTAGATAAGGTTAAAAGGGGTTTCTACAGAGGAATGGGGAATTAATCCAGTCTTGTTTAACCCACTTATCATGCTTTACAGACGTGCTCATCTGACTTTTTAACGTAACTGAAACTACTTAGATACAGTGTTGAGAGGCGAAGATTCTGATTTTTGAGTAAATTTAGTGTTGTGAACAGCTTTACGGTGGGCATGGGTTGTTGTTTTATAAGCAGTCTGTCACTTGGTTTTGTTTTTGATATTTGTAAACAGTTTTCACAGTTTAACTTCACAGGAAATAATAATAATAAGTTAAAAGCTTTTTTTACTACATGTGAATTTCAAAAGCCGTGTTTTGGTAGTCTACAGCAGGACAATATTTATGGTATCCAATTGGTGTAATTGGTTTTTATGTTCCTATTCTACCTACACACAACTCAATTAAGTTATAGAATAGTTTGTGCCCAGAGGTCAGTGTGATTCAGATATTGTGACGAAGTATAGTCAGACGATAATCCTTTAAAAGAGTAATAATTAACACAAAAAAAAAACTTTTAATTTAGTGTGAAAAACTGTACAAACTCCTAAAATTGAAAATTCTAAAACACTAAGCATTATAGAGCGTGAACCTAACCTGTTAATATCGCTGGTATTCGTGTTTGATAAGTGCAGTCAACCAATGAGTAACAAGTAAGTGTTATTAAAATAAACAATCTACCCTGGGGGAACTGGTGATCTAACAACATTTGAGCCCTTTCGTACGTGTATCTTTTAGGCTTCCCGGCAAACTTTTAAAAACCTATAATAGCCCGTAACAATCCTTTTTTTTTTTTTAAAGCTTCAGCCTGTAAAAAAAATTACTTACTGAAATTTTGGTCTCTGTTTTCTCTTTTTGTTATCCTGAACGAGACTCCTTGTGTCTATTTATTTATGCATGTTCTCAGTTACAAGGTAAAGCATATCCTTTATAGTTAGGTAGAAGTTGGGAAACAATCGTGTTTGAAACATATGCCTACGTTCGGTTCTATAGGACTTAGATTATTATAATATAGCACTTTGTAAAAATGGCCTGTACTTCAGTGAATTTTAACCTATAGTTCATGATATATAGTATTTATCTAGTAGCAATAGACATTGCTGGGAGGCCTGATCTGTATAATGTCTAATGGAGTTACACCAAAGCGAATCGAATTGTCGGACCATGGAGTTTGTCAATTTTAATTACCTTTAACCCGTTATATTCTTAACGAGGTTTTTATTTGAAAGTATTGGTTAAAAGTCCAACAATTGATGATATAACAAAAAAATTGTGAATATTTGCTGTGATTAGAAATAAACTGAATGTAAAACATTTTTTATAAAGTTCTTTGTTGATATTATAGATAGAACTTGGCCGTGTCCTATTAGAAAGTTGTATCATGGGAAGTGAGAGCTATTTGTCTATAATTATTAATAGTAACTAGACATAAAAAAAAACTGGCATGGTAACAGCAAGACTAGAGAGATCAGAGAAATTTAAAAAAAGATCATAGTGTCAGAAAAAGATTGGAATCTCTCACTCTGTCTTGGAAGCTTCAAACACCTAGTGTTAATTAATTAATTCATTTTATTTAGTAATAGGTCATACAAAATCATTAATAACTAATGTGTTCTGATATAACTAACTCAACCCTCTGTATTGGCATGTTGTGTACTTGTATCTGCAGATCTGGTCTGTGGAGTAGGGTGGTGGAAAGAATATGGTCAGTCCGGTATTAAGAAGAAAAGTCCATTAATCAATATTTTGAACTGTATAGATGTAATTAGACTTGTTCCTATCAGACTTAAGACTGCATCTTCTCATCAATCCTAAACAATTTATTCTACTTTGAGAAGCAAGAAATTATACTTTTTATATTAATTTTTTTTATGGCATTTTCCAAATAAACCATTTTTTTTTGAAATGGTAGCAAAACTATACTTTGAAAAAAGTATTTTATATAACAAAATTCGTAATACAAAATTACACGTTACTGTAAGTCTCCAGCTTAATACAATGAATTCAAATTTTAGTCTTAGACTGTAAAAATGTGAAGGATGATTTGGAAGATGATAAGAACTGTCATAGGATCTATTATTGGCCCCTTACCTAGGATACATATATATAAACCTGTTGACTGACAAAGGAAGTTAGACATCTATTATTGGCCCCTTACCTAGGATACATATATATAAACCTGTTGACTGACAAAGGAAGTTAGACATCTATAATGAAATATCCATTTAATGTTTTT